CTTGAAGTATTAGTTATCAAATCTGATGAATGCTTTTTAATTTGTGTTTTATTGGACCTCTATGCAAGCTTTGACAATAAAGCTTACTTATTATTCTTAGCCTTTTAAGAAAGTGTTTACTTTGAAACAATTTTAGCCTCCTAGGTAAGGCTAAGAGCATTTATCAAGAAATCGTTTTCCTGGGACTGGCATTGTGGTGTATTGTGTTAATTCACTGCTAGTCCCACCAGCATCCCGCATGGGTGTCGGTTCGAGTCCTGGCTGCTCCACTTCTGATCCAGTTCTGATCCATCTCCCTACTTTAAAGGGCCTGGGAAAGCAGGAGAACATGGCCCAAGTGCTGGGGCCGCTGTACCCACATGGGAGATCTGGATGAAGCTCCTGGTTTCATCTTGGCCATTTTGGCCATTTGGAGAGTAAACCAGTATATGGAAGATCTCTGTCTCCTTCTCACACTGTAACTCTGCCTTTCAACTAAGTAGTTTCTTCTTTTTAAAAAGGAAATTATTTTCCTTTTAACTGTTGGAGTATAAGTTTGCCTATATGATGTTTATTACCCTAGAATAAGTTGTACATCAAAAACTTAACTAAGTTACTTATAACCAAGTCATCAACCATTGAATTTCTGGTTTTGTGCAGCTTGAAGTGGTCCCAGTGACTGTTTTAGATGATGTCTTTTGTAATCAAAATTATTTGGTACATGCCTTTTAATTTAAGAATATCAGAGAAGTAAAATACAGTCTTTTCCCTCTAGAATTTATTAGTTCAACAGAGAAGATAAGTATGTAAGTGGTAGTAGTAGCACAAGCCCAAGAGCGGTGGTAGAGGCAGTTTGCTTTAATGCTAATGTCTAGAAAGGGAGACATTAGAGCAGAAGATGTAAGAGAGGGAACAGTTATACTGGATCTGTACAAAAGGGGAGAATGATAAAAAGTATTGTAAACAGAGGGAAGAACATGTACAAAGTCAGTGATGATCCATAGTATTTTCATCTGGTTTTCTGGGCATAGGTTGTGTTAAGGAGAATGGAGTCAGTGGGTGGGAAAGAAGAAGATACTAAGAATTTGTAGGGGCCAGTCCCATGGCATAGCGTGTAAAGTGGCCTGCAGTGCCAGCATCCCATATGGGTGCCAGTTCAAATCCCGGCTGCTCCACTGCCAATCCAGCTCTTTTGTATGGCCTGGGAAAGCAGCAGAAGATGGCCCAAGTGCTTGGGTTCTTTTATTCACTTTGGAGACCCAAAGGAAGTTCCTGGCTTCTGGCTTTGGATTGGCCCAACTTTGGCCGTTGCAGCTGTTTGGTTAGTGAACCAGTGGATGGAAAACCTCTCTCTGCTTCTGCCTCTGCCTCTCTCTAACTCTGCCTCTGAAATAAAGAAATATTTAAAAAAAGAAAAAGAATCTGTGGACAGGTTGGCTAGTAACAGGCTATTTTAGGACCATCTAATAGTACATCTTTCAGATTCTCATCCGTGACTCTATTTTCAGATGCCAGTAGAATAGACCTGGATTAATCTTAAATTATTTAAACAGACACACTCCCAGGAGTCTCCATATATGGAGTGAGAAGAGCTCTTTGATCTGTTTCATACTATTCTGTAGCTTGCTTAGCACCAAGTTATTATGAAGAATGATAGTGTGTCATTTATACCATAGATAAGTCCCTATTACTTTAGCATTGCATTTTTAAAAGATTATATAGTTTTCTGCAAAAGTAGGGGCTTTCTCTTTCTTCTCTTCTACAGGCAGAGTGGACAGTGAGAGAGAGAGACAGAGAGAAAGGTCTTCCTTTTGCCGTTGGTTCACCCTTCAATGGCCACTGCGGCCAGCACACCATGCTGATCCGAAGGCAGGAGCCAGGTGCTTCTCCTGGTCTCCCATGCAGGTGCAGGGCCCAAGCAATTGGGCCATCCTTCACTGCACTCCCTGGCCACAGCAGAGAGCTGGCCTGGAAGAGGGGCAACCGGGACAGAATCCGGCGCCCCAACCGGGACTAGAACCCGGTGTGCCGGCGCCGCAAGGCGGAGGATTAGCCTATTGAGCCGCGGCACCGGCCCAAAAGTAGTTTTTTTTTTAGATTCTTGATTCTTTCTTTGGTGAATTGGCTTATTTATCTCAAATTGTATGTCAGTTTTATAATGAGAAACTGAGTGGAAATACTAAAAAGAGGTGAAAGACTCATCATCAGTGTTAGGTTAAAATGCATTTATATACTACTTGACATATTTTATCCTTTGCTATCCTTCATTGTATTTTGAAGATAATAAAAACTCATGACCTCTTACATACTTTTTATGTGTTCTATATTGATGACAAGATTTTCTAAAATAGGAAGACCAAATTAATTATGATTACCTTTTAGAAACGTTTATTTTTACCATCTGGGTTGAGTAGTAGCAATATACATTATAAAGTTAAAATTTTGATTCATTAAGAATTATTTTAACATCTGAAGATTTGCTTTAAATCTAATATTTTATGTGGTTATTTTATAGCATATCTTAATTGGTGCTGTAGAAGCTGATAATAGTTTCCATATAGGAGAAAACCTTGAAACTAAATTGTATTACATTTCCTTCTTATTTGCATCCATTGGGAATGAATGAAGTGGGCTGGTTTTTGTACATGTTATGCTTGAATAGAGTTAAATAAGCTTTCTCTCAACAGTCTTCTGGGCAGGTGTTAGCAGTGTCAATTGCTGGCAGAAATTGATTCTGTTTTATCCAGTAAAGTTCTGATTTAGTGAATATAAGCATGTGGTTATTTCATGAAATAGTTAAATTTTAATTACCTTTTTTTTTTTTTTTTTTGACAGGCAGAGTTAGACAGTGAGAGAGAGATAGAGAGAAAGGTCTTCCTTTGCCATTGGTTCACCCCCCAAAATGGCCGCTAGGGCTGGCATGCTGTGCTGATCCGAAGCCAGGAGCCAGGTGCTTCCTCCTGGTCTCCCATACGGGTGCAGGGCCCAAGCACTTGGGCCATCCTCCACTGCCCTCCCGGGCCACTGCAGAGAGCTGGACTGGAAGAGGGGCAACCAGGACAGAATCTGGCGCCCCAACCGGGACTAGAACCTGGGGTGCTGGCGCCGCAGGCGGAGGATTAGCCAAGTGAGCCATGGCGCCGGCCGTAATTATCTTTTTTTTTAAATAGTGGACATGTATTAGAGTAATGTGAAGTTTCTTTTTTTTAAATTGTAATTTTAAAACTTTAATTTATATAAAGGAACAAATTTCATGTATTTCATATTATTACAGTTTTAAGAACATAGTGTTACTTCCCACGCTACTCTCTTTCTCTCCTTCCCACCCTCCCTTCCTTTCTTATTTTTCTTTAATTTTTACAATGACAAACTTTCAGTTTTCTTTATAATAACAAGCTTAACTCTCAAATAATTTAACAAGTAATAAGTAGAAAAGTCAGTATTCCTTAGGAGTATAGATAAGGGATATAAACAATATATTAATATTCTGTTTATTAGTTACCACAAATAGGGAAAACATATTTGTCTTTTAGGGACTGGTCATCAACTGTTGACTGGATAAAGAAATTGTGGTATATGTGCACAGCAGAATACATTCAGCCATAAAAAAGAATGAAATACTGCCTTTCACAACAAAATGAATGCAATTGAAGACTATTAGACTTACTGAAAAAAATTGTCCTTTAAATGCTGTTTATGTTTAATTTGTTTTGTGCTTTCAGTTAAATTCCCCAGTGAAATACCTATATACACACTTACAATGTGAGAAATGTTAGAGATTGTAGAGTATTCCAGAGTAGCATGAAATTAAAAGAAAATTTTGGAGATTATAAACAAGCTATGGAAAAGAAGGATGTACACTGATTACTTTTATTGTTTTGTTTACTTGTTGATTTCCCTGTGTTGGCACTCTAGTTTTATTTAGTCTCCTATACATTTGTTTGTCTTTTCTGTAGCTTCATTGTGTACTTTTTTTGAGCTTTCTTGAACTCTCTCTATATTTTCTTTCATTTTTCTCTTCTATTTCTCAGTATTGTTAATAAGTGAACATAGTTTAGATGGACATGTTTCTCTTATCCTTCCTCTCTTAGACATAACTTTTGAATATATATGTATATATAAATATACATATATTCATATATATGTAAACTATGTTCACTTACTAACAATACTAATATACATATGAATATTAATATATATGAATATATATGTATATATGATAAAATTTTGGCTAAGGTTGGAAGAGATGATGGTTCAAAAAGAAGCTTAAAGAAACTTTTTTATTTATTTATTTTTTGACAGAGTGGACAGTGAGAGAAAGAGAGACAGAGAGAAAGGTCTTCCTTTGCCATTGGTTCACCCTCCAATGGCTGCTGTGGCTGGCACGCTGTGGCCGGTGCACCGTGCTGATCCGAAGCCAGGAGCCAGGTGCTTCTCCTGGTCTCCCATGAGGGTGCAGGGCCCAAGGACTTGGGCTATCCTCCACTGTCCTCCCGGGCCACAGCAGAGAGCTGGACTGGAAGAAGGGCAACCGGGACAGAATCCGGTGCCCCGACCAGGACTAGAACCCTGGGGTGCCGGCTCCACAGGCAGAGGATTAGCCTATTGAGCCATGGCGCCGGCCAGAAACTTTTCTTCTAATATATTGTTTAATCTGCTTATAGTAATTTTTCTTTCTCTGGGAAAATGTTTTTGAAATAGAAATCAGATAGACCATTTATAGGAGACGCATTGAATTAGATTTAATGTTATGTTACTGATAAGATTCAGTTTCTGTGGTTTCTCTTAGAACACTTATACTTCATTTTAGAACTTCTTGGTTATGCTTTTTGTTGGGCTGGATTTGCTACTGATTGTGTCACTTCGGCAAGCTTCTTAATCTGTATGAACCTTAATTTCCTTTGTAGAATAAGCTATAAGATACCCACCTTTCACATACATTCAATTCAGTAATATTTTAAGAAGTAATTTATTTGTTGATGGACTGCTTGCTAATTGAATCATTTTTTCCTATTTTATAGGTTATGTGCAGAGTCTGATTAGACGAGTTGTAAATAATGTAAACATTGTTATAAATAATCTCATTTTAAAATATGTTGAAGATGATATTGTTCTTTCAGTCAATATTACTTCAGCAGAATGCTATACAGTAGGTGAATTATGGGATCGCGCATTTATGGATATTTCTGGTAAGTAAATGTTAAGTGTATTTTTTCATAATTGAAACAGTTGCCTTGATTCTTTTTTTTTTTTTTTTTTTTTGACTGGCAGAGTGGACAGTGAGAGAGAGAGAGACAGGGAGAAACAGGGAGAAAGGTCTTCCTTTATCGTTGGTTCACCCTCCAATGGCCGCTGCGGCCAGTGCACCACGCTGTTCTGAAGCCAGGAGCCAGGTGCTTCTCCTGGTCTCCCATGCGGGTGCAGGGCCCAAGGACTTGCATCATCCTCTACTGTCCTCCCGGGCCACAGCAAAGAGCTGGCCTGGAAGAGGGGCAACCAGGACAGAATCCGGTACCCCAACCGGGACTAGAACCCGGTGTGCCAACGCCGTAGGCGGAGGATTAGCCTATTGAGCAGCAGCACTGGCCGCCTTGATTCTTAACCTTTTTTGGGGCCAAGTGGCTCCTTGATAAATCTAATGAAAGCTGGTATAAAAATTCTCAAGTGTAAAATTGGGTGTATAAGTACAGAAGATTAATAGACTACTAGGTTAAGGAACTTTAGACTCATTTTTGAAAGGTCTGAATATTCTTTCATATTTGTTTCAAATGTGATGTGTAATATGAAGGTACTTCAGTAAGTTTGTGGAAATGGAAATAAAAGGTAAGTTTAGAGGAGGATATTTAGCTTAGTAATAAAGACACCAATTAAAACATCCATCCATATCCATGGAGCCGATGCTATGGTGCAGTGGGTTAAGCCACAGCCTGCAGTGCTTGCATCTTAAATGAGCCCCACAGGAAGCTCCTGGCTTCTGCCTGGACCAGCCCTGGTTGTAGTGGCCATTTGGAGAGTGAACTAGTGATCAGAAGATTGCTTCCCCCATCCCCCTACCCCTGTAACTCTGCTTTTCAAATAAATGAATAAAAGCTTAAAAAAAAATCAGTGCCCAACATCTGAGTGCTTGGGTTCAAGTTCCAGCCGTGGCTTCTGATTCCAGCTTCCTACCAGTTCATATCCTGGGAGGCAGTGGTGATCATTCAAGTAACTGCCACCCACATGGAAAGAGAGCTGGACTGAGTTCCTAGCTCCCAGCTTTAGTTCTCAGCTGTTGTGAGCAACTGGGGGAGTAAACCAATGGATGGAAAATCTCCCCCACCTCCCAACCTGCTTCTCCCTCCCTCTATCCTGTCTGTCTCTCTGCCCTCTAAGTAAAATTAAACAAAAAAAATTTTTTTTTTTCAAAATAGAACACCTTATCAGGGGCAGGCATTTGGCACTATGTTTAATATGCTGTTTGGGACACCCATATAAATCATTTTTCCAACTAATATACAAGTTTCAAATTCATCTACTAGTAAAACTTTTCTGTTTTGACATATATACATATTCTTTAAATTTACTTCTTAGAAACTTGATTCCAAAAATCAGAAAATAAAACGTTGAATTAATTAGAAATTATGAGGATATACTCAGGAATAGTGTTAGAACAGAGTGGACTAAGTTTATCTGTTTCAAAAACTTATTTAATTACATTTTTATTGCAAAGCAGAGAGATAGAGCTCTTCCATCCATTGACTCCACAAATGCTTGCAATAGCCAGGGCTGGGCCAGCCTGGAACCAGAAGCCATGGGTCTACCATGTGGGTGGCAGGGATCCAAATGCTGAGACATCACCTGCTGCTCCCTAAGGTACTCATTAGCAGGAAGCAGGAGTTGGGAGCAGAACTAGGAGTTGAGCCCAGGCAGTTGGATATAGGTGTTCCAAGTGGTATCTTTACCACTGTGCCACAAGCCCACCCTACCTGATTGCTTTGAGATGTCCATCCATTGCTTAGATATGGACAGCTGCTAACTTAAAATCAATGGCAAACTAGATTTGAGCATAGGAATTTCTTGTTAATTAGAAATAAAACTATTCATTTGATAAAAGTTTAATTTTCTAATTTTATCCTATACCAACAATTGTTTTGTTTTATTTTTTCTTTGGTAACCTACTGTTTCAAAGTAACCTACTGTTACTGGTAATTTCTTTTTTTCTTAAAGATTTATTTATTTGAAAGGCAGAGTTAGAAGGAGAGATTTAGAGCTTCCATCTACTTGTTTACTCCCCAATTGGCTACAATGGCTGGACCAGGCTGAAACCAGGAGCCCCATGCAGGTCTACCATGAGGTGGCAGGGGACCAATCATTTGAGCCATCCTTCACTGCCTTCTCAGGTGCATTAGCAGGAAACTAGGTCACAAGTGGAGCATCTGGGCTAGAACCAGTGCCCATATGGGATGCCTGTGCTCTAGGTGGCACCTTAATCTGCTGTGCCACAGCACCAGGCCCAGGTAATTTCATTATTTTTGCCATAGCAGTGCTATAACTAGAATTTTCTGTGATGTTAGTTTTTTTTTTCTTTTTTAATCTTTACTGATCAATACTGTAGCCATTAGCTAGCTGCATGTGGCTGTTGCCCATTTGAGAAATGGCTAGTGCAACTAAGCACATGAATTTTTACTTTATTTATTTATTTTTTTAAGATTTATTTGAAAGTCAGAGTTACAGAGAGAAAGAGAGGCAGAGGCAGAGAGAGAAGTCTTCCATCCGCAGGTTCACTCCCCAAATGGCTGCAATGGCCGGAACTGGGTTGATCCAGAGCCAGGAGATTCTTCCTGGTCTCCCATGCAAGTGTTGGGGCCCAAGGACTTGGGCCATCTTCTACTACTTTCTCAGGCCATAGCAGAGAGCTAGATCAGAAGAGGAGCAGCCAGAACTTGAACCGACGCCCATATGGGATGCTGGCACTGCAGGTGGCAGCTTTACCCACTATGCCACAGCATTGGCCCCTGTAATTTAATTTAAATGTAAGTTTAGCCACATACAGCTGGTGGCTACTATAGTGGACAGTGCAGATTTAGAGTAGCAGTGAGTTGTTAATATAGAAATTCGATAAATTATCCAGTTTTATTTCATTGTTATCTCATTCGACAAAAGGACTTATGATTTTTTTCACAAATTTTGTCTCAAATTTGTAGTTATACAAACTGAAGGCATTCTACTTAAGCCTATATTTGATTCTTCAGTGAAAAATGGGGATAATTGTACTTATTTCATAAGGTTGTTGGAAGATTTAAATGATATACTGAGAAGTTCTTATCACAGGGTAGAGCATCATGTGTTAAATTGCTCCAGAAATTTTAATTTCTGCTGAATTATTTTTATTATTTATACTAATAAATAATAGTTGGCTTTTCCTCCTAGTTTTTCCTCCCACTTAAAATGTTTTTCTTCTCTTTTTAGCAACTGATCTGGTGTTGAGAAAGGTTATCAATTTTTCTGACTGTACAGTTTGTCTTGATAAACGAAATGCCAGTGGTAAAATAGAATTTTACCAGGATCCTTTATTATACAAATGTTCCTTCAGGACTCGTCTGCATTTTACATATGATAACCTAAATTCCAAGATGCCCTCTGTTATTAAAGTAGGTGTCTCTTTAAGTAAAGTTCTGTATGTCTGTTTTTGTTTGTTGGTTCTTGTGCTAATTATTATTAAAAAAACAAAGAAGAGGGTGCATGTTTGGCCTGCTGGTTAGGATGCCTGCCTCCCTTATCGGAGTGAACCTTGGTAGGCAGAAGTGCCCATATACATAATTGGGTTCCTTGTGAGAGATCTATATTGAGTTCCTAGCCCCCAGCTGCAGCTGGCCCAGTTTTGGCCCTTGTAGGCATTTAGGGAGTGAACTGGGGGATAAGGGACTCTTTATCACTGTCTCTCAAGTAAACAAACATTTAGAAAGAAGAAAAAGCAAGAAGAAATTAACTTCATAATTATGTCATTTGTTTTCATGAAACAGTTTTATTAATATTTATGTTTTTTTTTTTTTTTTTTGACAGGCAGAGTGGACAGTGAGAGAGAGAGACAGAGAGAAAGGTCTTCCTTTGCCGTTGGTTCACCCTCCAATGGCCGCCGCTGCAGCCGGCGCACCGCGCTGATCCGATGGCAGGAGCCAGGAGCCAGGTGCTTTTCCTGGTCTCCCATGGGGTGCAGGGCCCAAGCACCTGGGCCATCCTCCACTGCACTCCCTGGCCATAGCAGAGAGCTGGCCTGGAAGAGGGGCAACCGGGACAGAATCCGGTGCCCTGACCGGGACTAGAACCCGGTGTGCTGGCGCCGCAAGGTGGAGGATTAGCCTATTGAGCCACGGCGCCGGCTAATATTTATGATTATTTTCATTTATCACCTTTTGTTTAGTGTGTTCTAGTAGAGATGTTTTGTGTACAACTTTAGAACTTTCTCAGTTCTATAACTACGATTTCCCTTTTCATTTGCCTGGTTGCTTATTAGTGTTTCTCCAAGTAGATTTAGGCACTCTTCTGTGGATTGTGGGCATCTTTACTGCTAGGCCAAACATCCTCTCTGATACTCATGTGAAAATTTGTTGTTCATCAAGTTAGTGGTATGCATTTTCGATATTTATGGTTTGTATCCAAGTGTAAATCCTTCTATCTTTTGTTACCTAACCATTTTTCTGAGCTTTATCTAACAGCTTTTTTTTTTTTTTAAATATTTATTTATTTTGAAAGGCAGAGTTACAGAGAGGCAGAGAGAGAGAAAGTCTTCCATCCGCTGGCTCACTCTCCAGGTGGCTGCAACTGCCAGAGCTGCGCCAATCCAAAGCTAAGAGCCAGGAGCTTCTTCCGGATCTCCCACAAGGGTGCAGGGGTCTAAGTACTTGGGCCACCTTCTACCACTTTCCCAGGCCATAGCAGAAAGTTAGATTGGAAGTGGAGCAGCAGGAACTGGAACCAGTGCCTGCATGGGATGCCAGCACTGCAGGCAGCAGCTCTACCCAGTACGCCACAGTGCCAGCTACCCCCACCTCCCCGACTTTTGATCTTATTTTTTATTAATGTGGAATAACTTTTTATTACTGAATTATGAATTTCTGACCATGGAAGTTCTAAGATGCAAGGGCTGGAGCTAATTTCTGGAAACTGATATTGACCACTCTGCCTGTTTGAGTGTGACTGTATAAAAATTAGTTGCTTTTAGGCCTGGCACTGTGCTGTAGCAGGTAAAGCCACCGCCAGATCATGAACCAGTGGATTGAAGACTTTCTCTCTCTGCCTCTGCCTCTCTGTAACTTTGCCTTAGGTAATTAAATAAATCTTAAAAAAATTAGTTGTTCTTGTGCATTGTTTTAATAAAACATTTTCTCTTTCATATAGCCATACTTATATTTATACATAAAATCTTGTTATTTTCTGATGGGGAGGGGTATTACTCATTCTGTTTGCTTTTGTTCAAAATCAGTATGCATGTTGCACATTAGTTTGTTGGAATTATGTTACTCTTTTCTTTTTTTGAATTAACTTCTGTGGCAGAGATAAGTATGGAAACATTAACTTGATAGTATTGATATCTCTCAGGTCAGTGGGATTTTCTTTTTTTAGCCTAGAATTTGTTACTGAAGTTTGGAAATGTGAAGGTAAATTCAGAAAACATTTTGACAGCCAGTAATGTTTTGAAGGTTTACTATATAAAGTATTCTTATTGATCATTAGTGTAAATTTAGTTGTCTGATCTAGGATTTGGCTTTATTAGAGAAACGTAGAAATAAATTTATTTGAGGAAAACTAAGTGTTGGTTTATAAGTAAGTTTCTGTTATGAAAATTTATTAGCCAGGACATTTCATTGTAAAAAATGCCTTAACATAAATTATAAGCTTTTTTACATGTGGTTTTTTACTCTAGTAATAGCCACATTTGAATTACCATTATGGTATGCTCAACTGATAACATTTTTTGAGTTTTTATTAATATTGGTTTTTTTTTGTATCACACAAAGACTTTATTCTTTTAAATTCATTTTTTAAGGAATACAAATTTCATAAGTACAACTTTAGGAATATAGTTACTCTTCCCACTATACCAGCCCTCCTGCCCACATTCCTGACCCTCCTCTTCCTCCTCCCTCTCACCTTGCCAGTCCCATTCTCCATTAAGATTCTTTTCAATTAACTTTGTACACAGAAGACCAACTCTATACTAAATAGACCAACTCTATACTAAGTAAAGATTTCAACAATTTGTGCATACACACACACACACATAACACAAAACTGAGAACTAGTTTTACAGTTAACTCTCAATACAGTTCATTGAGGACAGAGGTCCTGCATGGGGAGATAGTGCACAGTGACTCCTGTTGTTAATTTAACAATTAACACTCTTCGGTATGATATCAGTGTCTACCCTAGGCTTTGGACATGAGCTGCCTAGGCTCTGGAAGCCTTTTGAGTACACAAGGCCATAAGGCTTATGGACAAGACCATAAGCAAAGTGGAAGTTCTCTCTTCCCTTCAGAGAAAAGGAAAACATCCTTCTTTCTTCTTTCCACTGGATTCTTTCCACTGGATTCTCACTCACAGAGATCCTTCACGTAGAACATTTCTTGCCACAGTAACAAAGACATTTTTGGTTAGGAAGAACTGAATTTGTAACAGTGGTCCCATAAGATTATAATGAAAATGAAAAATTCCTGTGGCTTAGTGATGTCCTAGCTGTCATAAGATTGTAGCACAACACATTACTCATATGTTTGTGGTGATACTGACGCAAACAAGCCTACTACACACAGTGTATAGATGTATAGCACATCCATTAGTGCAGTCATAACGCCAGCAGGAGCTTCTTACATCTTATGTTTAACATATCTTCTGATTGCATCAAGAGGCCACATTGACTTATATCATCCAAGTTTGTGTAATACACAGTAGGATGTCAGGTGTTCAAACAGTGATAAAATTGACCATTTATGCATTTCCCAGAACAGAGCCCCCCTTAGTAAACAAATCATAGCTGTAAGTATATTTTATTTTTAGAAATATGTCCAGATTTTACACTATATGATTTTTTTATTTGACAGGTAGAGATATAGATAGACAGAGAAAGGTCTTCCTTCCATTGGTTCACTCCCCAAATGGCCGCTACGGCCAGCGCTACGCCGATCCGAAGCCAGGAACCAGGTGCTTCCTCCTGGTCTCCCATGCGGGTGCAGGGTCCCAAGCAGCTGGGCCATATTCCACTGCCCTCCCAGGCCACAGCAGAGAGCTGGACTGGAAGAAGAGCAGCTGGGACTAAAACCCCGCGTCCATATGGGATGCCGGCGCCGCAGGCGGAGGATTAACCAAGTGAGCCACAGTGCCAGCCCCCACTATATGATTTAAACCATTTATTTAAATCCTCCAAGTCTTAAAAACACACTGGTAAGACATATAATGTTTATTCAAATGATCATTTTAAGAATCAAACTAAGGTAATATTTGAAAATTACTGAGTACAGTTCTAGAAACACACAGCTCTTAGACTGTCCAGCCCTCAGGCTGTATAAGGTTCTAGAAATCCTTTGGCCCTGCCAAAGGAAAACCAGGTAGGATTCAAAATTCAATAAATCTACAGCAGGTTAATTTTTTTTTTCACTGTGTAAGCAATTGTTTTATTATCTTATTTAGGAAATAATAGCAAATAAAAATTTCCTATATGTTCATATATGTTTTTATATAAGGTTTGCCATTTGGATTAGACCCATCATTCTTCCAACTCGTAGTCCTAGGAACTATGTTCTAAACAGATGTAGTTAATCTCATTGGTTACCTCAAAGACAGAGTTTCCAAAATGTTTCAGATACCTTAAATTTGTTTTAAACAAAATTACTTAAGTGACTTCTGAACTTACTTATTTATATTTTGGTAGGCTTCTTGTGGCTTTCTATCTTTTGTGTGAAAAAAAATAAGTCTTACAGATTATGACATTTATGAGATAAAGAGCATATGAGTATGTTAAAAGTTCTATTTTTCCAAAAATTTACTTTGCAGTTTTTAAGAGGAATTAGTCTGCACATAAATCATATCTGATTGATTCCTACAGAAAGATTTCTGTGATTATAAATATCCTACTAATAGGTTTAAATATTTTTAAGACTTGTGATCTGTATTGCAAAACTGTTTCCAGAAAGGTTTAACTAGAATATATACTCATGCATTAATGGAAGTACTGCCTGCTTTCTTAAATGTAATTATATTGTTAAAAGTCACCAATTTCTTGAACAAAATATATAATTTAATGGATATTTATCAGCAAATTTAGAGTTTTGAATATATATTCACTGGTTATTTGAATTATTCAAGTTCTTTGTCTAATTTTTTCTGTTGAGGGTTAGTCTTTTCTCATTGACTTTAAAATAACTGTTTACATATATAATAAAGATTCTGTGTCATTGGTTTTGCTAAGACTGCTGATCACTAGTGCTTTTGGTACAATCAATATTTAAAAGGATTTGACAGAGAAATCTTAATTAAGAAAAGCTTAGTAGACTTGCATACTCCTTCCCCACGCCCCCCCCCCCATTTTCTTCTTCATGTTTTGTTCACTGTGTGATTTTTATGTCCGTTTTAAAAAACCTGTGCTCATCTTTGAAATATGCTATTTTATGCCCCCCATCCTGCTTTTACAACTTTCTCCCTTTGCAAATACATTGTTTTATGCTTTGAGCTCTAAAAGTACGATGATTACCATTATTTCTTTTTCATGTTTCATAGACACTCAAATACCAGCTAGTCAAAATAAACCCTCTAAGAGACTTAACTTTATGGCTTAATTGGTTTTATTCCATGTTTATATAACAGCAGGAAACTATTACACTAAAGTTGTGTTTATATTCCATTGATGTATGTTTCTTTAAGGAGAACTTTGATTGCTCTATATCCTATTTGTTACTAATTAATCTTATTTCTTTCTTATAATTGATTCATGTTATAAATTTCATATCACATTTAAATCTGTTTAAACTTTTTCTGAAAAACTTTCTTGAATGTATATTACTTGGTTTTTCATGTTTGACAATAAAAATTTTATTTCCACACTTATATAGTTATAATGTTAGTCTTTTCTCCACTTAACATATGGTTTTAGGATGTGTATGTATTCCTTTTGGTTAATAAAACTTGAAAGAATGATTAAAGTTTTACTAAAATGACATCATGAAACTTTTATTCTTGTTTTGTCAGAGATCTTTGTTTTTTGGAGGAAATACTATCATATTCTTAATGTTACAGAGTCGATATTTGGTTACATAGCTTTCTTCCTGGACTAGTTATCTGGAAATCTAATGTAAATATATTTTGTTATGTAGATATATCTACATTATTTGGCTTAATTTTCTATCCAAAGGTTATTGATCATCACAGAAAAATGTTTATAATCCCTGAAATTTTAGAGTCAGTATTATTTTGGCTTAAATATTAGAAATGTTTTGGAAATCACTATTTTATGATATTGCATTTTAAGACTTTTAAAATTTCTTTACTTATCCTAAAAAATATTCCTTAAACAAGTTTTTGTTCATGTCTTATTTTTTAAAATACAGATTCATACCTTAGTGGAGAGTTTGAAACTTTCTATCACCGATCAACAACTCCCTATGTTTATCCGCATAATGCAACTTGGGATTGCTCTTTACTATGGAGAAATAGGCAATTTTAAAGATGGAGAAACAGAAGATCCTACTTGTCACAATAAAGATATGTTAGGAAACATTTCGGGTAAGTATAGTGAAAATTTCAATTTGAGTTACTTTTTTTTGTTTTGAAGATTTATGTATTTGAAAGAGTATCAGAGAGAAAGAGGGGGAGAGGTGAAGTGAGAGAAGAAAGAGAGAGATCTTCATCCACTGATTCACCCCCTAAAAGGCCACAATGATTGGGGCTGAGCCAGTCCAAAACAGCAGGCTGGAACCCTATCTGGGTCTCCAATGTGGGTGACAGGGACCCAAGGACTTGGGCTTCTTCTGCTGTTTTCTCAGGCATGTTAGCAGGGAGCTGGGTCTTTCTGCTATTGCATTTTTGAGGAAAGTTTGAGATGTAGGATTTTTGTTGTTGGTTGAGAGACAAAATTAATAAGTGAAATGTTAGCTTATTCTTTGTATTTGTCAAATACTTTTAAAATTACATGTGATTGATAAACTACTTTCCACATAACATTAACCATATCTAGAAAAGGAAAATTACATAGTGCACCATAAAGAAACTTTGAGAATGATAATGGTAAATTATTGATTTGAAATAATAGCTAGTATATGATTTGTTGTTACCTTACAATGATGAACGTGGGAAGACATTTTAAAGGATTTATAGTTCTTTTTTCCCCTTGTTAAATCCTGTTGATTTAAAATGACTTGATTTTGATTGATAGATACTGATGATGAAACAAGAATAGATATGCAGTATCCTGCTCAGTACAAAGGCCAAGAATTGTATCCACAGCAAGATGATGAACAGCAACAGGGATGGGTATCATGGGCATGGTCATTCGTACCTGCAATTGTGAGTTATGACGATGGTGAAGAAGACTATCTTGGTAATGATCCTGCGTCAACCATGCATCAGCAAAAAGCACAGACTTTGAAGGATCCTATTGTTTCTATAGGATTTTACTGCACAAAGGCAACTGTGACTTTTAAGGTATGTTTTCTTCCTCTTGTAGTCCATTATCTCTGCCTATTTTAATCCTTCATTTTTGGTTGCTAGTAAGATTACAGCTTAACTCAAAAGTTTGTTTTGTGCTCAGTAGAATCCACTAGTTTACTCTCTAAATGCCTGCAGTGGCCAGGGCTGAAGCTGGGAGCTGGGAACACAGTTCAAGTCTCCCATGAGTTGGCCAGAACACTGCTACCTGAGCTATCTGCTGTTTTCCACTGTCTGCATTCACAGGAAGCTGAAATTAGGAGTCAGAGCTGTGGGTTGATCCCAGGTACTCCCATCTGGGATTCGGACATCTTATTCTTTAAAGGCTTCTCCTACCAGTTTTGTTCTTTATCAACTTCATGGAGACTTTTTTTCCTTCTTGCCAAATCATTCATTTGCTGTACAGTCATGCCTTAATACTTCCTTTTAAAAAGGAAAGCATATCAAAGAGAGAGAGATCTTCCATCTGCTGGTTCGCTCATTATATGGCCACAATAGCTGGAACTGTGCTGATCTGAAGCTTTAGATTGTTCCAGGATTCCCACATGGGTTTAGGGGCCCAAGTGTTTGGGCCTTCTTTCATTGCTTTCCCAGGTGCATTAGTAGGAAGCTGGATAGGAAGTGGAACCTGGACTTGAACTGATACCCATATGGGATGCTAGCAGTTTGGCGGTGGCTTTACTGGTATGCCACAGTTCCAGACCCCTCCCTGACTGTTTTCTCTTTTTAAAGATTTATTTGTTTATTTGAAAGGCAGAGTGACTGAAGGGAGGGAGGGAGGAGGAGGGGAAAGAGAGAGGGAGAAGGAGAGAGAGAATGAATGAATGAATCAGTCTGTCTCCTATCTGCTGGTTCACTCCCTAAATGGCTGCAACAGTCAGGATTTGGCCAGACGGAAGTCAGGAGCTAGGACTTCCATCTTGTCTCCACAAAGGTGACAGGAGTGAATGAAGTACTTGGGCCACCTTCTGCTGCCACCCCCCAGGTGTGTTAGCAAAGAGCTAGATTGGAAGCTGAGCAGCTGGGACTTGAACCAGCACTCTGAATGGGATGCGAGGTGCCACAAATAGTGGCTTCAGCTGTGCCACAACTCTGCCCCCCTCCCTGGCTTTTTATAATACTGTGAGCATACATGTAGTATTCCTTAACAGTATCTTAATTTATTCAGTATCTTTTTATTAATTTTTTAAAAAAGATTTATTTATTTATTTTGAAAAAGTTAAAGAGAGGGAAGGAGAGAGGGTTTCCATTTGCTGGTTCACTCCCCAGACGTTGGGCAAGAGCTGGAGCCACATGGGCTTCAAACACTTGAGCCATCTTCTAGTGCTTTCCCCAGGCCTTTAGCAAGCAGCTGGATTGAAAGTGGAACAGCTGGGTTACAAACTGGCACCCATATAGGATGCTGGCCAAGCAGATGGTGGCTTTACCCACTACGCCACAACGCTGGCTCCAGTAGATTTTTATTAATACCAGCTGTATTCCTGGCACTGTTGTCTGGAGATGCTACAGTGAACAGATAAAGATTCTTGCCTATTAGAACTTAAATTGTTGTTAAAAACAAGTAAGAAAGATGTATTGATGTTAAGGGCTATGTAGAAAAAAGAAGGAAATGGAATAGGGAGTGGTTTCAAAAAAGTTGTGAACAAGGAATCCTTGCAGATATGTGTGAATTTGCATTCCAGGATTACAAATATAGGCACCCCAAAACTTCAAGGATCAGTAAGGAGGCCACTGGGGCACAGTGGGCCAGTGTGAAAAAAGTATGCAATCAGATCAAGAGGTTTAGGAGTCTGGAGCAATCTGTAAGTTGTAAAACTGTGTAGATTGTTTTGAGTTTTTTTCCCATTTTATTCTGAGATGGAAACTTTTGGATAATATTTAGCAGAAGAGTTACATGTTGATCTGAGTTGTATTTTAAATTGGATCACTGTGATTATTATAAGAATATAGAGGAGGAAAAGCAGAAATTAGACAATCACATAGGAATGCAATATTCAAGTAATAGATGATAATAAAGGCTTGGATGAGGGTGGTAGCAAGTGGATGTGTAAAAAATGATTGGATTTTGGATCTGTTTTGAGAGTGGGTAGGATTTTTCGATAGTTCTTATTATGGGCCATGAATGAAATAAAGAGAATCCAAGAATGGCTAGGTATAGGCTTCTGGAAGTTGTCTTCTGATTATTTCTATCTTTGAGGAGTTCACTTAACTCAGAATTAGGATGAGGGAGAAAGGTAAAGATTTGAGGAAAGGGGATATATGAATCATCTTGGGGAGAATGAGGAGTAAATAGTCTTAGTAAATACTGTATACGTTCACTACTGACAGTAGGGACCTATTAGACAAAACTGATTGTGAATTTGAAGAGACCCCAGTCATCATGGTTGCATAATTTTTCTGTAGCCATTTTCTGCTACTTGTGTAAAGATAAATGGTGAAGGCTAGGTAGAAGACAATATCAATAGGAGCAGAGATTAAGAAATGGAGGAGACCAGATTTTTGGAATGATCATCTCTGTGAATATTGAAATCGCCAAGAATTATGACAGTGCTAATGTGGGACAGAATCGAAGACTGAAATCTCCATAGAATGAATGGAATGACCTGGGGATTTGATTTCATGACTACAGCGAGGAGGAGTTTTGGAGCATACAATCTATTCCTTATTTTTGCTGCTTTGAAAACTGACATTTACAAGGTTACTTCAAAATGTTCAAGGAAGAATGAAATTAAGGCTTTTTTTTTTGTTCAAAAATTTTTTCATGTCATGCCTCGTTTTTTCATAATACACATTTTTGAAGACCTCTCTTATGTTCAAGTTTCTCTAGATACGTGTATTTGCTATTTGAACACTTCCCTTTCTTTAAACATTTCATGTCTGATGCTTTTTCATACTAGTCTTTGCTGCTTTTCTTGTGCCTGATCTTTGAATTTTGGGTTATGGGGCTTAGACTTTTTTTTCTTTCATTTTAAGATTTATTTATTTATTTGAAAGGTTGAGTTAAATGACAGAGAGAGAGAAAGGTATCTTCTATCTGCTCGTTAACTCCCCAAATGGCCACGACAGGTGGAGCTGGGCCTATCCAAAGTTAGGAGCCAGGAGCTTCTGCTGAGTCTCCCACGCAGGTGCAGCGACACAAGAACTTGGGTCATCTTCCACGGCTTTTCCAGGCCATAGCAGAGAGCTGCATGGGAAGTGGAGCCAGCTGGGTCTTGAACCGGTGCCCATATGGGTTGCTGGTACTGCAGGCAGTGGCTTTACCCACTACGCTACAGCGCCGGCCGCAGGGCTTGGACTTTTTTTTTCTAAATATTTTTTTTCTAAATATTTTCTAATGTGTGGCTCAGTAGAACACAGCTAGATCTTTGTATATGCTTCTGCATTCAGTCTGGAAATGTTTTGGTTGGTGAATGCAAATACTTTTTGGTCTCACAAAAATATGTAGTTGGAAGGGGAGGAATATTTTAATAACTTACTAAGAAAATTGTGGATATTCTTTTTTGATAGTACTCTAAAAGTCATTAAGTGGTTGTTTAAAAATGGTTTGTTGGGGCAGGTAGTTAGTCTAGCAGTTAAGATGTCAGCTTCCTACCTCACAGTACCTCGGTTCAGTACCTGGCTCCTCCTGATTCCAGCTTTCAGCTTCCAGCTAATGCACACGCTGAGAGGCAGCAGTTGTGTCATAAGTTTCTGCCACCTACGTGGGAGAACTGGTTTGTGTTTGTAGCTCTTGGCTTCCCAGTCCTGGCCGTTACTAGCATTTGAGGGAGTGAACTAGCGGAAGGAAGATATTTCTGTCTCTCTTTTTTTTTTTTTTTCCCAAACAACAACAACAACAACAACAACAACAACAACAACAAAATGTTCTCTTGTGTCTTGAGCACTTGGAAATTTTCTGGTATGTATTCTGACATCCATGTACCTACCCTTCTATTTGTTATCTGTGCACCGACCCATCTGTTCATCTGCTTTTCATCTTCCAAAAGTTTATGGACCCTTTTTTTAGTTTTCGTTTCCTCCCCAGTTTTTCTCTGTGAATTTATTTCTTCATTACTGCATTTTTGGGAAGTAAGGAACTAAACCAGTAAAATGTTATTACAAGTATTATTTCAGGTAGCTTGTTAGATTTTTGAGAGATAACAGTATAAAAAGGAAGTCAAATTTATGCTATCATAATGTTTTTAATTTAACTTGGATTGTTTGTTAACTGCCTGAAATAAATTTATTTCATTTGGTAGTAAAGCTATATAATTTATAACTACAACAGATGGCAGGTTAAAATATATTTTAAAATATTCTTTAAGAACTTTTCCTAGTTAAAAATCATTTAGTATTTTCTATTCTGACAAAAACTGAAAAAAATCCATATAATAAGTTTCAGTGAGAGTTTGTAACAAGTTGATTTAAATCAATCAAAAGTTTTTTTCTGGTTATTAGTGGGACAAAAATAAAGATTTATAAGCTGTGCTGTTTCAGCACCATCATTTTTTCTGAATTAGAGAAACATTTTTATAATTCAATTAACTGATTTAATTTTGATTAGATATAAATTTGTAAAGTTAAAATCTTTAAAGATATAAAAAGTTACTGTTGCCAACAATTGTTAGGTATTTAGTCAATTTTAGAATATCAGATTAAGACACTTATTTTTAGTGTTGATTTGTAAAGTCAAGGTTTGCTCGTTCAGTTTTATCTTTTTGTGTAATTTTTGCCTGCTTGCTTTGAAATTTGAAATTATTCTGGTGCATTTCTATTAACTCGATTGATGAGAAGAATTGTATTCAGCTGAAGATAGTCATTTACATATAAACTTTTACAGACTGTTAGGTAGTATTTATGGTTTGTGTATCTTTTCAACATTTTGAATAATTTATGCTTCTCAGAGTTTTCTCTAAGGAAAATATGTTGATTATTAGGAGGAAAACATTAGATTTCATTGTTCAGCTTAGATCTGAGGAATGTATGGAATTAATTTGTGGTTCATATTTTGGTCAGAAAATAAGGTCATGTTTCTACATTAGCATTTTGAACAGTTGATATCAGTCCAACAAAAATCATGCCAAATTAAATGTAGCATTTTTCTAATAATGTTTAAAATTGTTCTTATAATGTTTGAGTCCTTTTAATCAATTAATTGCTTTTTTTCTCTGCAATAATGGTAGACAGCTGAAGGATGATCAAGTTTAAAAAATTCAGTTTTACTTAAACACTGTAGGTTATGGAATTGTACTTTTAAACAGCAACATTATACATAGTAGCAGTACTAGAAACATTCAAAAAAGAGCTTATGAAATACAAAATATATAAAAATTTCTCTAGTGTAAGAAAAGAATAATTAGTTGATTCTGAATATATAGAAGTCAGGTTGACTCTCAGTATAAAGAAGTTATCATGCTTTGAGTGATAACTTTTCAGTTCTGTAACTTATTTGGCCTAAGCTAAATACTGGTTTTTAGATGAGATCGGGCTCTTTCAGTGTGGTATGGCTATAGACAGTACTGGTTTTTAAGAAGTATGATGTTTGACTTTGCATTTGAGTTTGAAGAATACCTCCATTTCACAAGAATAAGGGTGTTAAGTCATTTGCAAACAAAGGCAGAATAACTTTAAGACCTTTTTTTGGGGGGGTAATTTTAAGAATCACAGAAATGGGTTTACTTATATTCCTTACCAAGTGTCCCCTGTTTTTATGCTATCTTACGCTATCATAGTACTTTTGCCAAAGCTAAGAAATCAAACATTGATGCATTAATGTTAAATCCCAGAATTTACTTGAATGTTAAACTATCCTTTTTCTGTGCCTTGATTCAAACCAGGATACCTCATGGCAATTATAAAAATACTTTATAATTTAAGACATCTGATTTTTGATAAATTTAAATAATATGTTGTAAACTTAAGAGGAGTGACAACCTTATTTTTCTTTTGTCAGTATCTATCTTGTTATCTAGTAGGCACTCAGCATTTATTACATGACTAATTAGGTCTCTGAGATATACTTAATATTAACATACTTTGACATTTTACATCCATAATCCTACTAATTGCATAAGAATTGGAAAGACATTTGTAGATTCTATTTGTGTTTCACAGCTTTCTTTTTTGTTAGAAATAGTGAGAAATCTTGGAAGTGACTGAACTAAACATGGATGGCTATAATAATGAATATAGAATGTCTAGGTTATATATGTAAATTTTTGGCAGAATAAATGAACTGTTTTATAAGTACATGAACTATTTAATGACCATTATTTGTATAGCTTTCACTTTTAAAGCAATGTTAAGGAGGAGGAGTTAGAAAAAGTGGCATTTAAATAAGTTTAGACCAGAATATTCAACCTTTAAACCATGGATAATTTGTTACAGCTGTTTTTGTTGCACCTGTTTTTCTGCTTAATAATTAAATTTCCCGAATCTTAAAATTGGCCTTGTTCTCATCAGTTCATCATAATCATGACAGTTTATTGCCATTTAATGCTAATTTTGATTTACTTAATATTCTTATATTTCTTAGCTCACTGAAATGCAAGCCGAGAATAGTTATTACAGTCCCCAGAAAGTAAAATCTAAAGAAGTATTGTGTTGGGAACAAGAAGGAACTACAGTTGAGGTAATGTTTCAACAATGAGAATATTTTTAAAAAATTGAGTGGTTCTTAAAATTAATGTTTAATAAATACAGATGTTTATCCCAAGTAGCATAGTAGAAATCCTTATATTTATGGTTCTGTATTTCTATTGTAGTCAGCATATTGAGTCTATGAATTACTCCTTTAAGAAAGATTTTACTGTTATATGCAGCATTAATTTAGTCTTTAAATTTTTCATTTGCCTTCTGTATGTTTGGATGTGTGAATGTAGACTGTTCATGAAGTGCCAGTCATTGAGGAAACAAAGATTTGAGGACACACAGATAAGGAAGATCTTCCTTCCTCCCTCCCTCCCTCCCTCCCTCCCTTCCTTCCATTTTTTTAAGATTTATTTATTTACTTGAGAGGCATAGTGACAGACAGACAGGTCTTCAATCCACTGGTTTACTCCCTAAATGGCTGCAACGGACAGAACTGGGCTAATCCAATCCTGAGCCAGGAGCTTCATCCAGGTCTCCCTTGTGGGTGCAGGGGCCAAGCACTTCTATTGTTTTCCAGGCCAACAGCAGGAAACTACATCAGAAGAGGAGCAACCAGCACCCACATAGAATGCTGGTGCCATAGGCAGATGCTTAACCTACTATGCCGCAGCGCCAGCCCCTCTTTCTTTCTTTTTAAAACTTATTTATTTAGTTATTTGAAAGGCAGAGTGTCAGAAACAGAGGAAGGGAGGGAGATGGAGATGGGGAGGGAGGGAGGGAGATGGAGATGGAGATGGAGATAGAGATCCAATTGCTTCTGGTGGTTCACTCTTCAAATGGGTATAACAACCAGGTTGGGACCAGGCTGAAGCCAAGGGTGCCATCTTGGTCTCTTAAGTGGGTGGCAGGAACTTAAGAACTTGAGCCTTCATATGCTGCTACCCAGGTCACATTATCAGGGAACTGGATCAGAATTAGAGAGTGGGGACTCTAACTGGCTGATGTGGGATGTGGATGTTCCAAGCAGTGGCCTAGGCTACTACATCACAACACCTGTTCTGTTAAGAAGCTGTTTTAATAGAGTTTGGGATCTGCGAATACATTTGGAAAGGCCATAATCCTAAAGACATTTGAGTAATTTAGAAAATCTACAAGGAAATCTTATGACATTTTTTAAAAAAAGAATTATTTATTTGAAAGGCAGAGATACAGAGGTGGGAGGTTTGGGAAGAGAGACACAGAAAGATATCTTGCATTGCTGATTCAGTCTCCAAATGACCCCAACAGCTGGGGCTGGACAGGCCAAAGCCAGGAGCCCAGAACTTCACCTGGATCTCCCATGTGGGTGGCAAAGATGCATGTATTTGGGCCATCTTCTACTGCATTTCCAATTTCATTAATAGGAAGCTTGGTTGGAGATGAAGCCACTGGGACTTGAACTGGCACTCCCATATAGGCTGGTGCTATAAGCAGTGCCTTAACCTGCTACATCATAGTGCAAGTCCTCTATAATGTTTTTGTTAAATACAAGTTTTTAATTATAATATTTCCTTTCCTCTTAAAGGCGCTTATGATGGGAGAACCTTTCTTTGACTGCCAGATTGGGTTTGTAGGTTGCAGAGCCATGTGCCTTAAAGGAATTATGGGTGTAAAAGATTTTGAAGAGAATATGAATAGAAGTGAAACTGTAAGTCAAAAACTCCCTTTCCTCCCTTTTGTAGATAGGATGCTGGTATAATGAAATGCTTACTGAAATGTTTAGCCCTATAAAACTTGTTAGACTATGTATCTGTCTTTTTTTTTTTTTTTTTAAGGTTTATTTATTTATTTGAAAGAGTTACACAGGAGAGGCAGAGAGAGAGAGAGAGAGGTCTTCCATCCGATGGTTTACTCCCCATTTGGCTGCAACAGCTGGAACTGTGCCGATCTGAAGCCAGGAGCCAGGAGCTTCTTCTGGGTCTCCCACATGGGTACAGGGGCCCAAGGATTTGAGCCATCTTCTTCCTTCCCAGGCCATAGCAGAGAGCTGGGTCGGAAGTGGAGCTGCCGGATCTCGAACCGGCGCCCATATGGGATGCCGGTGCTTCGGGCCAGGGCATCAACCTGCTATGCCACAGCATTGGCCCCGTCTTAAAAGAGGAGCTTTACTGTTTTTCCTGCAAGAAATTATAGAACTCTGGGGAATTTAGAGTTGATAGCATTTAAAACCTGGTTAGTAATTTCAAATAGTTTCCAATACATCTTTTTTCTTGTTTATGCAATTACTTGGAGCTCTTCGTTGGTTTGTTAAAATAATAGATGATGAAAATGGAGAATGCGTTACTCATATTTTTATAGTACTTGAAGTTTTACTAATTTCTATTGACTGTTCAATGAGTGTTATAAAACCAAGAGGTTTGTTTTCCTTCACAGTGTAATGATTTTCATCTTGTTCATAAGTTTTGCATTTATTTTTAGGAAGCCTGTTTCTTCATTTGTGGTGAAAATTTGAGTACAAAAGGTTTGACGTACCTTACAAATTCTTTATTTGATTACCGGAGCCCAGAAAATAATGGTACTCGTGCAGAATTTATCTTGGATGCAGCTCATCATAAGGTCAGAAAATATATATATATATATATGATGCAAATTCTAGGCTATTTGAGTAGACATGTTGTGTGAATTTTTGTGATTAACATCTTTCTTCTCAAATAGTATCTTATGAATACTAATAACTTATTGACAAATACTGACACATTTATAATTTTGTGGCTCAACTTTTATATCTATAAAGATTTGAGGAGTGCTAGGGGTCTTTAGTTTTATATAGTATATAATTGTTTATTTGTATCCTATGGTTAAAGTAGTCATGGAAGAAAGCATACATGTAGAATTTTTATTATGTCTGGAGTTTCAGATTGGTGGGAGGAAATGAGGAATTTTACTTTTTACTATGTTTACTTTTTATTGTTTGAATTTTTAATGTAAGATTATAATAATATATTTATGGAATATTAACAAGTTTATGAACTAAATTTAGTAGTTCAAAAAGTTACCTGAGTATTAATAGAATAAATATTTTGATAGTTTAAACTTTTTTTAAAGGAATTTCTTCTTTTTTTTTTAAGATTTTATTTATTTATTTGAGACGTAGAATTACAGACAGTGAGGGGGAGAGACAGAAAGGTCTTCTGTCCGTTGGTTCACTCCCCAGTGGCTGTAACAGTTGGAGCTGTGCCGATCCAAAGCCAGGAGCCAGGTGCTTCTTCCCGGTCTCCCATGCAGATGCAGGGGCCCAAGGAGTTGAGCCATCTTCTGCTTTCCCAGGCCATAGCAGAGAGCTGGATTGGAAGAGGAGCAGCCGGGACTAGAACTGGTGCCCATATGGGATGCCAGCGCCGCAGGCGGGGGATTAATCTTCTGCGCCATGGCATAGTTTAAACTTTTTTTAGCATTTACTTTCACTGTTAGGTTAATACTGAACTGCATAATTAAATATTTATTTATAATTTTTAGTTTAGAGTTTCAATTGTTTCATGTAAATTTCTTGAAATATGTAAGGGCTAACTCTTGAGAGTATACATTATTAGATTTTTGTGATAATGATAAAGGTTAAATGTGTATTATCTGATCCATTAAATTTTTTAAAAAAGATTTATTTATATATTTGAAAGTCAGAGTTACAGAGAGAGAGAAAGAGAGGCAGAGAGAGAGGTCTTCCATCTGCTGGTTCACTCCCCTATTGGCTGCCAACGGCTGGAGCTGTGCCGATTCAAAGCCAGGAGCTTCCTCCAGGTCTCCTATGTGGATGCAGGGGTCCAAGGACGTAGGCCATCTTCTGCCGCTTTCCCAGGCCATAGAAGGGAGCTGTATCGGAAGAGGAGCAGCTGGGATTCGAAACAGCGACCAAATGGGATGCTGGCACTGCAGGCGGTGGCTTTACCTGCTATGCCACAGTGCCAGACCCCTAAAAATTTTTTTAAACATTTATTTATTTGAAGGGCAGAGTTAGAGAGAGAGAGACATCTTCCATCTGCTGGTTCACTCCCCACATGGCCTCTGTGGCTGGAGCTGGGCCGACCTGGAGCCATCCTCCACTGCTTTCCCACACATTTAGCAGGGAGCTGGATTGGAAGTGGAGCATTGTGAAGGTACCACAGTGGTTGCTTTACTTGCTATGCCACTGCACCGGCCCTATTAAAGCTGTTGATTAGCTAGGTATTATTGGTGAAGTAGCAAAAATGTCTAGTAGAATTATGTATATCCTTTTGTGTGTTCTGTGATGGGAGTAACATCACTTTTCTTAGAAGTAAATTCTTTAGTTAACTTCTGTTCTTTTGTTTTTGGTAATCCTTTGAGTTGACATACATTGTATGTAAGATTATATGTATCTTACCCATCAGATTTTAAACTCAAAAATTTTTTCTATACTGTGTTCTGTTTGTTTCTTTGTTGGCAGGAGACTTACACTGAGATGGCTGGAATGCAAAGATTTGGGGCTTTTTACATGGATTACCTGTATACAATGGAGAATACCAGTGGCAAAGGTATTGGTGTCTTTCCTTTATGTTTGCCTTTCCTTGAACAACAGAAGCAAAGACATCTTCAGAATCAGTTGATCTTTTACCAGTTGTACTCTATTAGCCAGATTTATCTTCTAGTACTTTGAGGAATGGTGTAATTTTAATGTCATACTAGGATTTATTTAGAATTTTGGCATTTAAAATTGTTCTTTGTGAATTCTGTGGAAAGACATATTGTGGGCCAGCGCCATGGCTCAATAGGCTAATCCTCCGCCTGTGGTGCCGGGACCCCGGGTTCTAGTACCGGTCAGGGCGCCGGATTCTGTCCCGGTTGCCCCTCTTCCAGGCCAGCTCTCTGCTGTGGCCTGGGAGTGCAGTGGAGGATGGCCCAAGTGCTTGGGCCCTGCACCCCATGGGAGACCAGGAGAAGCACCTGGTTCCTGGCTTCGGATTAGCGCGATGTGCCGGCCACAGCGCGGCGGCCATTGGAGGGTGAACCAATGGCAAAAGGAAGACCTTTCTCTCTGTCTCTGTCTCTCTCTCACTGTCCAATCTGCCTGTCAAAAAAAAAAAGATTTCTTCAAGTTTAACTGTCATATTATTATGTATTATGCTTATTATTTCAGTCTTTTATATTCAAATGTTAGTGAAAATTTATTTTTTTGGGTTAATATTTTTCTTGTATTTGAAGACTTGTTTATTTAAAATTTCAGATTTCCAGGTTCTACCTCAGACCAGTATAATCACGTTCCAGGGGAAGGGCTTGGAAAAAACCACTGAAGCTCCTAGATTCTTTAAAGGCAAATGTTGGCTGGGGACACTTCACCCCATACCTGCCCAGGAAAGTTTAAATTTTGAATGGGTGATCTGAACATGCCAGTGGAGGTGGAGGGGTGTGACCTGGAATCACAAATAATGGGTCTGTAACTCAAGATCTAAAGGCATGATTAAAAAAAAAATCTAAGGACATAGCAAAAAGTTGTTATTCAGGGTTTGGGTGAAGAAAAGGCCAAAGCCAGCTGTTAATACAACTTACCTTATAAATTAGAAACTGAGAACCAATTTCTTACTGCTGCCTCTGAAAAGAAATGCATCTAAGACCCTTCTCTGGCTTACATTCCAGGTTAGACTCTGGGAAAGAAAAGAGAATTAAATTCCTATCATCTTGTGCAGAGAAATGTCTAAAGCTGGGAGCAGAAAGAGCACTGTTTCTTCTAGGACCCTCCATCCCATGCCCTAACTCGGTTACACTGTAGCTAAGGTTCCTGGGCCTCCCTATTGGTCTGGCCAGACACAGATAGTTGTGAATGGTATAGGACTGCAGGTTCCTATCTTTAGATGATCTTTTTGTTTTTGGTGTCAATAGCATTTTTTAAAAAGATTTAATTATTTATTTGAAAGCGTTAGAGAGAGGGGAACCAGAGAGAGGTGGGGGGGGGAGAGGAAGGGGGAGAGGGGTAGAAAGAGGGGGGAGAGGGAGGGGGAGAGAGAGAGGGAGGGAGGGAGGGAGGGAGAGAGAGAGATATCTTTCATCTGATGAATCACCACCACCCCCCACCCCCTGCCATTGGCCACAACAGCCGGAGCTGCTGCGATCTGAAGCCAGGAGGCAGGAGCTTCTTCCAGGTCTGCCATGCGGGTTCAGGGGCCCAAGGTCTTGGGCCATCTTGTATTGCTTTCCCAGGCCATAGCAGAGAGCTGAATAGGAAGTCGAGCAGCCAGGACTCTAACCGGCACCCATATGGGATGCTGGTGCTTCAGGCCAGCTTGTTAACTCACTGCACCACAGCGCTGGGCCCCTCAGTAGCATTTTACATCCAATCGGTAATATTCAAAAGTTATACCAACATTTGTTCAGCATTATGTCTTTTTTTTTTTTTTTTTTTTTCAAGAATGGGGAGTAGAAGGGGCAAGTGTCTTATGGGGGTCTCAGGTGTATGAGACCTTTGGCAGTACAAGGACAGGATGAGATGGCCAGGCAAGCCAGATGGAAGGTCCCTAAGATTCTTTTCCTATTGATTTCTGTAATTAAAATGACAGGTCCTGTGTAAGTCCTAACATATGGTATAGAATAAAAATGTCAAGTTGCCTTTGTTAGCTAGGTGCCCAGCAGACTAGGTTCTACCTAAATATCATCATCTTCCCTTCTGGGAATGAAGCTCACCTAGTAAACTAGGGAACTAAAAGTGCAGTACAGTTTGAGTGACACAGTTGGCTAGCTGTCCTCATGCCCCAACTCCAGTGTGCCAAGGAGGGGCTGAGAGAATGTCTCAGGTGGCTTCCTTGGCCTGGCCAGCTTATCCTGGCAGATTCCACATGGAGGACTATGGGATGCAACTCTCTAGTGCATAGTCCTCTCTTTTTGGCGATGATAATTATAGGGAAAGAAGCGGATACATATACTGATTTCACATACTGATTTCACAGGCTGTCTTCAGTATCTCAACAGCCTTGCTGTGCTCAGTATCTTAGAAATCCTCATCATTGATGGCTAGTACTTGATCACCTTCCTGACATCCTTCTTGATGTGCATCAGAGTCAGGAATCACCTTGCAGTTGAAGATACCCAGCTGTGAGGCTTTTCCTCCTCGGATGTTAAATCCCAGCTGAGCTTCCAGGAGGCTTCTTCAGTGTGACGATTTGGGTTAGACACTGGGTCAACCTATTGTTGTTGTCTGGGTGATAAGACTGTCTCATGAGGTGGAATCTATGCTGGAGGATTCTCATGGGGAGTTAGGAAAACCACTGTGTAGTCATTGTAAGGAATCCGGCTGTCCATCTTTGGTGAGGCCTGGTGGGCTGGACTCAGCCACCTTGGGGCCAGTATGCCGCCAGTGAAGTCTGGGAACTGGAAGCGGATGTTCTCTGGGGTCAGAAAATTGATTTTTCATAGCTTTAAAAAGGTGATTTGTTAATCTAGATGATTAAACTAGATCTCTGTATAAAAGATGATTTGTTAAACTAGATAATTTGTTAACCTCTGCACATACAAAGAAGACCAAAACATTTATCAAGAAGCCAATCAATACTTTTGAATTAAATATTTAGATAGTTATAAGATAGATTAATAGTTTAATGTTAAATTATTATTAATACATTATTAATATTATTATTAATAGATCATGTTAAGACCAATTGTATAAAGAGTGAGCTAAGAAAGAGGTCCAAATGAGAAAGTATTAATTTGTTTGAGGAGTTGAAGACTTTTCTGAGGTGATTTTTTTTAAAGATTTATTTATTTATTTGGAAGAGTTACACAGAGAGAGGAGAGGCAGAGAGAGAGAGAAAGAGAGAGAGAGAAAGAGGTCTTCCATCTGATGGTTCACGCCCCAATTGGCCGCAAAGGCTGGAGCTGAGGCAATACGAAACCACGAGCCAGGAGCTTCTCTGGGTCTCCATGGGGGTGCAGGGTCCCAAGGACTTGGGCCATCTTCCACTGCTTTCCCAGGCCACAGCAGAGAGCTGGATAGGAAGTGGAGCAGCCGGGTCTTGAACCGGTGCCCATATGGGATGCCAGCGCTTCAGGCCAGGGCGTTAATCCACTGCACAACAGTGCCAGCCCCTGAGGTGATCTTGAAGTAACTTTTTGGGATATACAGAGAAGTGAGCAGTAATTTTTTGCCCTTTTCCTTTGTAGTGCTTCCTAAATGTTTTTCTCATTGGTCAGTCTCTGAATTCATTGCTTTCTCTGATCTCACTTAAAGTAATCTAATACTTTTCTATGAATTTTACTACTACTATATGTTATTGATACTTGTATTTGTATTTCTAGTCCAGACTCCTTAAATGTTCAGAATTAAATATCTACTGCATACTTGACATATTCACTTAGGTGTCTCACAGATATTTCAAAACTGAGTATAGGGGCTGGTGTCGTGTCACAGTGGGTTAAGCCACCAGCTGCGATGCTAACATTGCATGTGGGCGCTAGTTTGAGTCCTCATTGGTTCATTTCCAATCCAGCTCCCTGCTGTTGCACCTAGGAAGTCAGTGGAAGATGGCCCAAGTGCTTGGAGTCTTACCATCCATTTGGTAGACACAAAAAGAATTCCTGCCCTCCTGTGATCACACTGGTTTAATCCCTTAAAAATCCTCACATTTTTTGCATTGATTTATTTAATAATAAAATGAGAGTAATTTTTCAGATTGTGTTCTAGAATTACTTGGTCAGTAGTGATAACCATTAAAAAAAGCTAGCTATAGAGAAGAAAGTAAAATTTTTTGAGGAAAAAATTTTGGAGGAAAGTACCCGTGAACATTGAGGTAGAAATGTTCCTTAGTCAGATATGTGAAAGTCTGAGAAGTCTGTGTTAAATTTTTGCTGGTTATTATTGTGTTACAGTTGCCAATTGTAAGCTGGCAGGTTTCTTCTTGTTCAGTGTGATGTCGTGATATCTTACTCATACACGGTGAATATCATTATCTTGTGAAAAGGTGGAATCATTAAGTAATCTCTTACACCTGCAGATTTAGTAGTCTTTAATATTAAAACCTTTGTAGTTGCTTCATTATGTTTTCTGAAACCAAAAGTTTGACATTTTAAATTTTTAATATTTTTTTTACTTCTGTAAATAATAGATACCTTAGTCTTTACCTTTGCCTTTTTTTTTTTTTTCTTTTTTTGACAGGCAGAGTGGACAGTGAGAGAGAGAGACAGAGAGAAAGGTCTTCCTTTGCCGTTGGTTCACCCTCCAGTGGCTGCCGCAGCCGGCGTGCTGCAGCTGGCGCACCGCGCTGATCCGAAGCCAGGAGCCAGGTGCTTCTCCTGGTCTCCCATGGGGTGCAGGGCCCCAGCACTTGGGCCATCCTCCACTGTACTCCCACGCCACAGCAGAGAGCTGGCCTGGAAGAGGGGCAACCGGGACAGAATCTGGCGCCCTGACTGAGCCTAGAACCCAGGGTGCTGGCGCCACAGGCAGAGGATTAGCCTAGTGAGCCGCGGCGCCGGCACCTTTGCTTTCTAGACAAAATGTTAGAAGATAAAATCATATAGAAACATTCATTTTATGTACTAAATGAATTAC